CGGTGGTGTCTGGCACGGTTCGGTTCAGATGTGCATGCCATTTACACTCAGCAGTTATCTCGGCCACCGTACTCGGACCGATCTCGGCACGGTTTCAAAAGGGTAGTTTGTGTAAATGGGGCTTTAGATACAGACACATCACAGAAAAAATAATTTAATTCACACGGAGAAAGCCTTAACTGTGCAGCTCAGCAGTCAAAACAGGAAGTGATTACAATACGTCTCACCAGCAGCTGCAGTAGCACCTTCTAGTGGCAGGAGGCCACTTAGCAGATCACCCCTGAAATTCCATAATCACCCCTGAAATTCCATAATTACAATTCCTTAGTGTGAACTTTGACAGAAGGTAAAAACAATATGTTCATTACAGTAACATTGTTGATGAATTAAATAAAATATATGTATATTAGGTACAACACACTCAATAATTGCTGTGCAGTTTATTCAGAAAGTGCTTTTAATACTTTAAGTATTTTTAAAAACAAATACTTTGTTACTTTTACTATAGTAACAATGTCAGTGTGAAACTTATATTTTAATAGAGTATTTATTTGTTTGTTTATTGGTACCTGTACTTAAGTACCATTTCTGAGTACACTTTCCATCGCTGGTCAGTCCAAAATGTTTTGGTGCAATTGAACATTTTGCCAGATGCCCTATGATATCGTGAAGCTAGGGGTGAGATTTGTACCAAGAGAAACTGAACTGTCTATGCCGGTAAAAAACATTATTTTATATTACAAAATGTTTCTCCAAAGCCAAAATTCTTTAACATTCTTCAATAAAAGTGATGCTCAAGCGAGTCAAATGCCTTATAAAAGTTGAGAAATAAAATAAACTGTCACTGTTAATAAAATATCTGTAATCTAGCATGTCAAGTATAAGTTTATTATGATAATAAATATTTATACCCTTTATGAACACAAATTGATATTCAATGATAACATTTGCTAACCCACTATGCGGTCGGCATAAACAAGACCTAATATTTTATCCTCCCGATCACCGGCAACCGTTTTTTATAGCGTCTACAACTACTAACTCAGAATGCATGAAAATTACATTGGTAAAATTTTTACCAATATAAACATGTTAGACATTGTTGGAAAGCTTTGATTCGCCACAATTCAATCACCAAGTTCATTTTATGGACACAGTGAGCAGCAAAGCACAATTAACACAGATATAGCTGCATGTCAAAATGTAAACATGACAAAGTAGCCACAACTTAATTCCTTTGAAGGCATCCAGAAGCCGTTTTACAAATCCTGTCTTTAATTGTTTATATTCCATTCGTTCATAAGGGGCCACAGATTAAAAGTAATCAAGCATATTAGTAATAAAAATATTCCATGATGAGAAAATTGCCCATAACTTCTGGTTTTTGACATTAAAAAAGTTAGCTGGTCATAGTTAATGCTTAGAATCTTGCAAATAAGATTTACTTTTTCAGTTGATAGGCCTCTATATTTGGTATGTTTCTTTACATCGTCTTCTAACCTACAAGACTAAAGTATCTGCATCTTTGTAGGGCTCGATTTGAGTCAGGGATATTCAAGGAAGTCTCACAAATGCTGAAATATAATCTAGAAAATTGTTAAGACTTACCTGTGAAAGGTAATTCCAATTACTTTTGAATTATGTTCAGCTTAAAAGGCTATTTATGTCGAGGATGTGCGGGGTCACACGCAATGATAAGATGGATGAGCTCGGATGGATCTCATCTTCTTCACCCATATTTATCTATAAAAAAAGTTTCCCCACAAATAAGACTACTGGTGCATTAAAAAGATCATGGCATGCTAGTATCTGTGTGTGTGTGTACTGCAGTGAAAACATTTCAGCATGTTGGCAGAGTAAAAATTGATCTCTGTGGCAACTATATAACTACTAACAATGCAAATTACAAAAATAAATAAACTTACAGCATCTTCCCTAGAAAATTACAACATAGAGGTAGGTACATTTTACTAGCAGTGATGTGAAATGGATTTCTCCAAATAGCATGCCAAACTTTACCTATCGAATAGAAACTTTGGAACTGCTGCATCAAGGAAAAGCTCGACCTGTGCATTGTACGCCATCGTGTGGAAGAATCTTCCAAAAACACACGTCTTGTTTTTCTCTTCTGTGGCCTTTCTCTTCTTCCCATACACTTTGTAGACACTTTTTCTCTCACTTCTCTCAGCCATTTACAGCGGAAAGAGAAAGGCAAGCTTCACAGGATGAAAATGTAGCTCACAACAGATCTACACCTGAAAGTGTGCAGAAAATATAGCTAGCTGGGGGCGAGCATGTAGGACGGCCTTACGCAAACATATCACAAGAATGATTTACAGTTAGGAGGACCACTGATTTAGGTGATCCACCAGGAAATAAAAAATCATCCTCTATACCAGGGGTCTGCAACCTGCGGCTCCGGAGCCACATATGGCTCTTTGGACCCTCTCCAGCGGCTCTTAATAGCGGCTAAAATGTATATAAAGAGCTAAATAATTTACTATAATATATACCGGTATCAATAGCTTTAGCGTTTTTTATAAGATGGAAAAGAATGAGATAAAAAGAACCAGAAATATGTTTTAAGAGACATTTTTCTATTAATTAGCTTGAAAATTATACGTTTTAACATTAAGAATATATCTATTGATTGTTTGAGATGGCAACAACTAATTTCCTATACAAGATAAAAAAAAAAAAAAAGGTTTTCTATAAAAAGTCATGGTATATTTTGCGGCTCTAAACAACTTTTATTTGGTCGTACTCTTGGCAAAACGGCTCTTTGGATATGAAAGGTTGCAGACCCCTGCTCTATACCTTTAAGCTTCATTAGAGAGAGAGTTGGACTTCATGATCCAAACCAAGAAAGTCCACAAAGGTAAGAAAGCTGAGAAGCATTTTAGCCTTTTTAAAAATTTTAGCTATTTTCTATACAAATTAGAATTTAAATAAAATGGATTTGTTATGTTTTCTTTAAATTTTTATTAAGTCCATAAATATATTGCATCAACACATACAAATTATATCTGACATTTAAAAGTTAAAAGCTAAATATTAATAGATCTTTTTACTACCATTGCCATAACAGTGAAATAATCCACCCCATTAGGTGGGACAACCAATCTAGTGTTAGTGTTAATTGTTACAGGTAAACCACTTTGCTTTAGTGATCAGTAGCTTTTGAATTGAATAAGATACAGACTTTATTCCTCATCTTTTTAAGGTGAAATTACAAGATTGTGTCACTATGTCACGTCCCTAGGATTCATTGATTGTCAGATAGAAGTAATAATTAAACTGTTGTTAGAGATTGAATAAAAAAATGTATTACTCAATGGATCAAAGGTAACTGCGTCATCTGTCTGTCCCCTACCCTCTGGAAAGCTGTTCGACGCAAACTCATCTATATAAAAGATACGCAATCTGTTTTCTCAGTCTGTTCTTACAGTCATCATCTTAAGCCTTTGAATCAGAAACTGTCTTTATCTTCAAAAGTATCCTGAAGACAGAGGGAGTATGTCATTCTCCCTGGTCTGCAGCTGGAAACCTGCAATAAATAAATCTGTATGTTCACTCATTTACTCTTAAAAACTATCCCTTATATTGGTAAACTGGTATACTTTGTGAACTATTGAAAGTTCGTAAGTCCAGCAGTTTTTCCCAACAATTGTGGATTCTTAAGTTTTATATAATGCTTCGCAAAACACAGTCATGATTACATATTTGTGATTTATGTTTAAAAGTTTATACATTTTCCACAATTTTTATATAAAAATTATCTACCTTCAGACAAAACATTTTTAGGAGTTTTGATAGTAGTAAATAATTGTGAGAACCATCACCAGTCTCTTCTACATAGACAGGTGGCAGGAAGACAGAGACAGATAGGTGGGGCAGAAGAATTGTATGGGTGTGCTGAGATTAATGTGTTTATAGGTGGTGTCACATGATTTCAGAGAAAGACTATGTTTTCAGCTGAATAGAAAGTAAAAACGCTAGTTTAAAAAAAAAGTTAAAAACCAATTTGTTTAGAACTGCCATTCACTGTTAAAGTTCAACTGTTAACTAAGGTATGATTGGTTTAAGGCCATGGTCCAATTGTTTGATATGTTTTACTACCTGCTGTTAATGTTTTTTTTTTTTCATTACTTGCTTTTATCTTTGTTGTTATTTATTTATCCGTGGAAAGCACTTAAAATCTGCCTTTCCTTGCCTAATCTTTCTTTTTTCTTTCATAGTTTGTGGTTTTTCTTCTTGCAAGAAGTAGACCCACAAACTACTGATGTTATCAGAATTACATTATTGTCAGACTAAACATTTATAGCAGTTTCTATAGTTGTAAAAAAAAATGTGACCATCACCAGCCTCTTCTACATAAACAGACAGGTGGTGGGGCAGAATAACTGTATAGGTGTGCCAAGAGTAATTTGTTTATACATGGTGTCCCATGATTTCAGAGAAAAAGTATGTTTTCAGTATAACATCAACTGAGCAAAAATTATAAAAGGCTGGTAAAAAAAAAAAGTTGAAAACCCATTTGTTTGAACTGCCTTTCACTGTTTTAAGTTAAACTTTTAACTGAGGTATCACTGGTTTAAGGTCATTGTCTAGTTGTTTGATTGTTAATTGCTTTTATCTTTGTTGTTTTTATTACTTAATCCATGGAAAGCACCTTGAATTGTCCTTGTGCTAAATCGTGCTATATAATCTGCCTTTCATTGCCTTATCTGTCTCTATTTTTTTATAAAGAGCTCCGACTCACCCCCTTTAAAACCTCCTCCTGTCTGCACACATTCAGAGAACTCTTCAGTACTCCCAATCCAGAAGCAAACAAAGCCACACAGGTAAGATATATGCAATTATTTTGTGTGTGTGATGAGAGTAATTTGTGTCTGTGGAGTCATGTGGTTTCAGGGAAAGGGTATATCCTCTGGAAAACATCCCCGCAACTGAAAATACAATGAACATATTAACCTAATATGATTTCTACTTTGTTTTGTAGGAAGAGCTCCACCTCTCAACCCTTAGAGCTATAAATCATCCTGACTGCAGACATAGAACTCTGTATTGCTGCACAATCAAGAACCAAGAAATCAACACAGGTAAGAAAGCTGAGAAACATTTTAGCCATTTTTTTCTACTATTTTAAATTAAATGTGTGTCTTGTTGTAATTTAAATGATCTTGATTCCATAAATATATATAACTGTCATGATTGGTTTAAGAGGCTAAACCCACATGCAGAACACAAATGGAGGCTGAGTAAATGTTTAACAGAGTTTATTGAACAGGTTTTCACACAAAGACATGAACTGGTTCAGGTACTGGTACGGGCTGGGTTCACTGATGTCTGCAGAGACGGACAGTTTGATTAGCCAGGCAGTCAGATAATTTATTGAGTCTTAGATATTTCAGAGTCTACCTTGAAGAGGTCCAAGCTTCTTTGTGAGAGAGGGAACCGGTTGGGTCCAGAGACTGTTGGTGCAGCAGAGTGCTCAGCAGCAGCAGCGTCTAACTTCTGACTAATGAATGGCAGACCTTGATTAGAGATTCCAGCTCTTCACTGAGAGCAGCAGGAGCTTGAGATGACAGGTTTGATCTGGGAAACATGAAACGTGGGGTGGATACGAAGAGACGGTGGCAGGTGCAGGCGGACAGCAGAGGGATTGATAATCTGGGCAATCTTATATGGACCGATGAACCGAGGTGAAAGCTTCCTAGACATGCCTTTGAGAGGAATGTCCCATGTAGATAGCCATACCTCTTGGCCCAGGGTATAGTCAGGGGCAGGGCGCCGTTTAGAATCAGCGCATCTCTTCATGGTGGCAGATGAGCGGTTGAGGGTGGCGATGGTGTCCTTCCAGACACGCTGACAACGGCGGATGTGGTGGTGGACTGATCTAACCGTTATCTCTCTCTTGTCTGCAGGGAAGAGTGGTGGCTGATAACCTATGGAGACTTGGAAAGGGGACAAACCGGTAGAAGCAGATCTCAGGGAATTGTGGGCGTATTCGATCCATGTCAGAAACTGACTCCAGTCAGTCGGATTGTTAGAGGTTAGGCAGCGGAGAGTGGACTTGAGTTGTTGGTTCATCCTCTCCGTCTGCCCATTAGTCTGAGGGTGATAACCAGAGGTGAGAGAGGACTTGCAATTCAGAGCTGAACAGAAGGCTTTCCAGACCTGTGAGATGAACTGGGGACCACGATCGGAGAGGATCTCTTGGGGTATCCCATAGAGACGGAAAACATGCTTCACGAGAAGTTGGGCAGTTTGGAACGCAGTGGGTAGTTTCCTGAGGGGAATTAAATGACAGGCCTTGGAAAAACGATCGACAATGGTAAGGATAGTGGACATACCTCTGGAAATTGGGAGACCGGTGACAAAATCAACTGCGATGTGGGACCAAGGACGGGTAGGAACAGGTAGAGGATGCAGCAGGCCAGAAGGTGGTTGGTGAGAGGTCTTATTTCTGGCGCAGATGGAACATGCCAGAACGTATTCTTTTACGTCCTTGTGAAGAGACGGCCACCAAAAACGTCTAGTGATGAGGGCTATGGTTCTGCTCACTCCAGGATGGGCCGAGAATTTTGCTGCATGCATCCAATGGATAAGGCGGGATCTGACGGAAGATGGAACATAAGTTTTGTTTGGAGGAACGTTACCTGGGTCAGGTTCAGAGGCTAGGGCAGAGTTGATCAAATCAGTGATCTCCCAGGAAACGACTCCAATCATGCATGAGGCAGGGAGAACAGGTTCGGGTGTCTCAGGTTGATCAGCGGAGTACAGGCGAGAGAGAGAGAGTCGGGCTTGACGTTATTGGAACCAGGTCTGTAAGAAATGATAAGATTGAAACGAGAGAAGAATAAAGACCATCTAGAATGATGTGGGTTGGATCTTTTAGCCGATTGGAGATAAGCCAGGTTTTCGTGGTCTGTCCAAACCAATACTGGATGCTCGGCCCCCTCGAGCCAGTGTCTCCACTCTTCCAGGGCGAGTTTGATGGCAAGAAGTTCTCGGTCTCCGACATCATAATTTTGTTCTGCCGGAGAGAGTCTATGTGAAAAAAATGCACAAGGGTGAATTTTCTGGTCAGAGTCTGACTGTTGAGATAAAACAGCTCCAACACCGGAGTCAGATGCGTCCACCTCTAGGACAAACTGTTTAGAGGGATCAGGTTGGATGAGGATGGGTGCCCTGGAAAACTGTTTCTTCAGTTTATTAAAAGCATTTTCGGCTTCAGATGTCCATTGGAATGTCCTCTTCACAGAAGTCAGAGCTGTGCGGGGTAGAGCTGTCTGACTATAATTTCTTATGAAACGCCTGTAGAAACTTGCAAACCCAAGAAACCTTTGAAGCTGCTTACGGTTTTCAGGTGTCAGCCAGTCCAGAACTGCCTTTTTTTTTTGTCTTCGGATGGCTTCACCTGCCCGCCCTCGAGCACAAACCCTAGAAAGGTGACAGATGGTTGATGAAATTCACATTTTTCAGCTTCACAAAGAGTTTGTTTTTCAGTAATCTCTGAAGAACTAGACGAACATGTTTCTTGTGGTCTGAGAGGTTCTTGGAATAGATCAAAATATCAACGATGTATACAAAAACAAAAACATTCAAAAAATCTCTGAGGACATCGTTGACTAGAGCTTGGAAGCAAGCAGGAGCATTTGTGAGACCAAAAGGCATGACAAGGTATTCAAATTGGCCTAAGGGGGTCTTAAAGGCTGTCTTCCATTCATCCCCTTCTCTTATTCTAAGGAGATGATAGGCGTTTCTTAAATCGAGTTTGGTGAACACTGTCGCACCTTGAACAGGTTCAAAAGCTGATGCCAGTAATGGTAGGGGATACTTATTTTTGACGGTTATCTGATTCAAGCCTCTGTAGTCAATACAGGGTTTGGAGGGAACCGTCCTTTTTTCCCACAAAAAAAAAACAGCACCGAGAGGAGATGAAGATGGACGAATAATTCCAGCGGCTAGAGACTCATTGATATACTTCTCCATAGTTTCGCGTTCTGGTTTGAAGATGTTAAATAGTCTACTGCTGGGAAGGGGGGCTCCTGGTAGTAAATCAATGGCGCAGGCATATGGTCTGTGAGGTGGAAGAGAAGTCGCACTGACCTTACTGAAGACTGGTGCCAGATCATGATACTCAGGAGGAACAGAAGTAAGGTCAGGAGAGTCCATCTCCCCCCTACCTCTAGGGGACTGAATAGTAGGAGCCGCAGAACGAAGGCATGACTCGTGACAGGAAGTGGACCAAGATTCAATGTGGCGTTCAGCCCAGTTGATATGGGGATTGTGACGTTCCAACCACTCGAAACCAAGCACCAAAGGAGAGCATGCTGAGGGAAAAACAAAAAATGTTAGCTTCTCACGGTGGTTTCCTGAAATAAGAAGTTCTAAAGGTTGCGTCTGATGAGTAACTTGGTGAAGCTTCTTTCCGTCAATTGCCGATACTCTGAGAGGCTTAGTTAAAGGAACAGTCTCAATCCTTAACTGCTGGACCAGCTCAGAATCAAAGAGATTTCACTCACACCCAGAGTCGATGAATGCAGATAATGTGAGATTCTGGTTAGAGAAAAAAGGGTTGCTGGCAACAATAAATGAGGAGTCTTTTCAGATTTCAGATGGCCCGTCAGACTCCTCAATTCCACTGACGGGCCCTGGCTTTTGATTTAGCCGGGCATGAGGAAATGAAATGGCCGGTCTCACCGCAGTACAGACAAAGTTTTCCTCTAAATCTCTGTTGTCTTTCTTCGGGGGATAACCTTGTGTGTCCAATTTGCATGGGTTTGACCTCCAATCCATCTGTGTGAGAGGCTTGGACAGGTACTGAAAAAGTCTGGCTCTTAGACTTTGGCTTGGAACTGGGTTCCAGAAAAAAACAGAAGCATTGTTAAATGCAGGAGCAGAAACAGAAAAATTCAGGCTTCAATGTTTAGAGTTATTTCTAGTCCGGAGTCTATTATCCAGTCTGATGGTTAATCGGATTAATTCCTCCAGACTAGCTGGTTCGTCGATTGTGGCGAGTTCGTCTTTGATAATTTCATTTAAAGCCTTGAAATAAGCACTCTTAAGTGAGCACTCATTCCAGCCTGAGGCTGCAGCTTTAACCCGGAAGTCAATGGAGAACTCAGCCACTGTTGAATTTCCCTGCTTCAAACTTAGCAGAGCTCGGGAATCAATTGTTTTGTCTGAGTCATGATTGAAAACTTGGGAAAACTCAGATATAAACTCAGAAAACGTACATGAAAAGCTGGACTCAGAAGAGAACCTTGCCTCTGCCCATTCAAGGGCTCGTCCAGTAAGTTGAGAGAGAATGAAGGAGATTTTCTTCCTATCATTCGGAAAATGCTAGGGGAGTGCTCAAAAAGCAAACGACACTGAGACAAAAATCCTCTACAATCCTTTTGGTTACCTGAAAATCGTTCAGGAGTACTCGGACGGAACTCCGGAAATGATGTCACTGTCGGTGACCTTAGAGGCTGAAGTGCTTCCGGAACAGGACTTACTGCTGGCGTGGCATTAGCATCCCTCATGTAGCCAGCGTATGCCTGTAAAACTTGGTTCTGATGTTCAATTTGAGTGTTTAACTCACGGAGGGTGTGCGCATGTCCTTGGATTTGGGCATCCTGCTCCTCGAGCCTCCTCCGGAGGTGATCTGCTGGGTTTTGTATTTGGCCGCAGTGTTCTGTCATGATTGGTTTAAGAGGCTAAACCCACATGCAGAACACAAACGGAGGCTGAGTAAAAGTTTAACAGAGTTTATTGAACAGGTTTTCACACAAAGACATGAACTGGTTCAGGTACTGGTCTGGGTTCACTGATGTCTGCAGAGACGGACAGTTTGATTAGCCAGGCAGTCAGATAATTTATTGAGTCTTAGATATTTCAGAGTCTACCTTGAAGAGGTCCAAGCTTCCTTGTGAGTGAGGGAACCGGTTGGGTCCAGAGACTGTTGGTGCAGCAGAGTGCTCAGCAGCAGCAGCGTCTAACTTCTGACTAATGAATGGCAGACCTTGATTAGAGATTCCAGCTCTTCCCTGAGAGCAGCAGGAGGAATCCAGATTGGAATCTTCAGGTTTGGCTCACCAGGGCTGGCAGGCAGGTTAAAGCTCATCCAGAGCTTCAGACTTGAGACATGTTTCCTGTGAGCAAAGACAGAGGCAGATTAGAATCAGGTTTCTCTCAAGAGACAACTAAGATTCTTTCAGGTAACAGAGGCTCAGGTTCTCTAACCAAACTAGGTCAACACTGCGGCGTCGAAGGAAGGTCTGGTTGCTGCTTATGTAGGTAGGTCTCCTGATGAGTTGATGAGCGTCAGGTGTGCTGGAGGGCTCCAGCCCAGGAGACCCACAGCGCACTCTGCTGGAGAAAGGTGGTACATCTCCAGATCCCAACAATAACATATTTAACTTTTTATTATAACATATTTAACTTTTTAATGTCAAACTCCATCTTTCACCGCTAGGTTTGCCTCATAAGGCTATGATAATCAGGACCTAAATTTTAAGAATATCTTACCTAAAATGTTGAAATATTCAAAGAAAGCAGAGAAAATGTTTAATGACAATACAAGGAAACATTTCCGTCATATGTAAATAAATAGAAGCGAGAACAATAAGAGAAAAATATTCAAAGATCTATGTACCTACTCATCTGTCTTTTTATCAAAAAAATGAACAGAATGCAATTAAATATTTTATTGAATATGATTTAGGTATTCCTTTTGGTAGAAATTAAAAAATGTTTAGCACCACCTTGTGAGCTAGAAGAAATGAAATCCTGATTGTTAGACAAAAGGAATTTCTATGCTTGGCAAAGGATGATCAGTCACATATAGTTTATCAAATAGCGAGGGCAAAAAGAGCCACACTGCTGAGAGCAAACCATCAGTGTGGAGCGTAAAGCGCAGACTCTGAGCTACGCCACACAAAGACGCATTTCTGCACAAGCACAGCTGAAAGAGCAGAGTTAATCAGAGTTGAGAGCGCAGTATCAGAGCATTCCTTTCTCCCCTGCCGCTGCTGCCATGATCCATCTGTGGTCATGCAGAATGTGGAACGCTGCACGCCAGGTGGGCGGTGTTACCAAATGGGACGCAGCAGCACGGCTGGTGCTACTTAACAGATTACACAACTATGATGCATTTAAAACATCTGACAGACCACCCACTAACTTTTTTTTTAGTCTCATCCAGTCAACGAAAACTCACACCCGTGAATCGTCATTTTTTCGTCCTCAAATATCCATGTTTAGCTCATCAGTTCTCCTTTGTCATGAAAAACAACAGCAAAGTAATGTTTTCGTCAATGTCATTATTGACGAAAACATTACTCCATTGTAGCAATGCCTCCTTTGTTGATGACCACAGCATTTTTTGAATAAAGGTTTGAACCTGTCTGTCAAACGTCTTCAGAGACACAAGAACTGCAACAAAAATCAGTTTCGAGTTTGATAAAGAGCTTTTTGGGGATAAGGAAATATATTTTTATATGCTCCACGCAGCAGTTAAGCTCACAAAAATATGACCTGCATGTTCATGAAGGCAGACATAAGAAGTTTGAATTCATTTTTTACATATTATTGTTTTTGTTTTTTATTATGCAATATATTTATCTTTCAATTCAGTTCATTTATAATTTCACAAGGTTCTCTAAAGACAAATTTTAGATAGATAGTTCTCAAAATATTTTACTGATTTTAACTTTGCTGTTTTCCAAACTTTTTAGGTTCAGAATGTCTAAGAATTTTATTTATGAGAACGCAACCATAGATGAGGGACCCCCTGCCCGTATTCGTCTGACAACTACCAAGAGGAATCTAGATGGAGATCAGGCTGTGTCCAGAATCAAAAGATGCAGCCTTGGTGAGGAAGATCCAAGCAAGCCAAATAAAACAATCCTGCTGGTTGGAGAGACAGGAGCAGGAAAATCTGCCTTTATTAACACATTTTTGAACTATGCAATGGGTGTAAAAAAAGAAGATAAAGTGTGGTATGAGATTGTTCATGAAAATGTGGAAACCTCAAAATCAGAATGTGTTACGTTTCAGGTTACAGTTTATGACATTTTTGGTTTTGAAGGTCAAACTCTGCCGTTCTCTCTGACCATCATTGATACTCCTGGATATGGAGACACCAGAGGGATTGAAAATGATGCATTAGTTGCTCGAAAACTTTTGGATTTGTTTCGTTCAGAAGATGGTGTCAGTTCAGTTGATGCAGTTGGTCTGGTGTTGAAAGCAAGTGATAATCAACCGAGTGACAGATTGATATACATTTTCAATTCAGTGCTGGCGTTGTTTGGAAAAGATCTGGAATCAAATATTGTAGCTCTCATCACACACTCAGATGGAATGCCACCTAAAGTTGCCCTCAAAGCTCTAGAGGATGCAAACATTAAGATGGCCAAAAATGAGAAGGGCCAGCCAGTTCACTTTGTGTTCAACAATTGCCTGAGCACTACAATAACAGAAGATACAGAGTTTGGACTGGACCAGGCATGGGCTGTTACAATCGGAGGAATGACTAAACTTACAGCCTTCCTGGAAAATAGTCAATCTAAAAACCTAGACAACACTATATCAGTCCTTAATGAACAGATTGGGTTGACAGCCTGTGTTAACAATCTGGCAGACAGAATTGATCTTAACAAAAAGAAGCAAGAAGAGATAAAACAAACTCTAGAAGGTCTGGAGAAATACCAGAACGAATTGAGTAGTGGAGAGAAATTCACTTTAGAAGTTGATGAGCCATACAAGGAAAAAAGAGACATTTATGGAGGGATGAGGTTTTTTATGTTTGGGGGAGCTGTGACTTGTAATGTCTGTGAGGAGAACTGTCATTATCCTGGATGCACTGTTGCCTGGTATCCAAGCCACTGTAAGGTCATGAAAAATGGTCGCTGCACTGTTTGCACCAATAAGTGTCCTGCAAACAAACATGTGAAAGAGCAAAAGAAATATGTGATCAAGACAAGAAAGGTTTCAAAAACCATTGAGGAATTAAAGCAGATGCACGAAAAAAATTTAGCCATGGGTGAAAGCCTTCTGTCTAAACTCCAGGATGAGACAGAAAAACTTGAAACAGAAATAAATTCCCTGTTAGACAAGGCTTACAACCATCTTCTCAGCCTGGAGAAGAACGCTTTGAGTTTTGGCTCCTTGTTTGCTTTTGTAGACATTAATGTTATTATTGAGGAGCTAAAGGAAAGGAAAGACACAGAGAAAGTTCAAAAACTGGAAGAGATCAGTGGACAGTTTGACAAGAGAACCTGGGGAGGTCTGCGTTACGCATGGGGCAACATCAAGAGTAAACTAGCAAAAGGGATAGAAGCAATAGCAATATGATATTTATTGAGCAAATCAGAAATGGGAAATGCATGAAATAAAGCGAGAGCTCTTTTACTGCTACAGGCCACTGTTCCCTCTCCCTAAGTCTTCAATTGCTTTTAATGAGATGTAAAAATATTTTTCAGGTAAATGCTGACTCCTCCAGTTCATAGGTCAGTATTGGTAGCCCTTCCTATGAGTCAGTGCTAAATAAAACAGTAAATAAAGAAGAAAATATTTAAAAGATGGATGGAAGACAACTAATTAACAATAAACATAAATTAATCAAAATCAGTGATAGGTGGTATTTTACAACAAACTTTAACTGACCAAGATAGATCATGTTCAAATTCAAAATGTAGATGAGAATAAATTCTTAGGAGTGATAATGAAAAAAAATCAACTATTATGGAAAGTCTGCATCAGAAACATAAAAAAAATAAAAAATAATCAATTATTAATAAAGTAAAGCATATCCTTGATTATAATGTACTTCATACGTTATACTTCTGTTTACTACTGAATTATCTAAATCATTGTGTGCGGTCGCAACTATTAATGTTGCATCAATTATTTACGGTACAATGCTGGTTTATTTCAGCATAGTGATACTTTATTTATTCAATCCAAATAATTAAAAAATATACAATCTTGTAATATATTACACAGTATAAATCATTTTTAAAATGTTCAACAAGCCATTACCATAAAATAGACAAAACATTTTAAAATCAAAAGAGTGTGCTCATAAGCTAACAGGAATTGTGAATTTCCCATTACCAAATGTCAGACCAACTGCAAAACTTCTTGCATGTCTTTATGTGGAGTTAAACTATAGAATGCTCTAAATCCACACCACAAGCAAGGCCAGAATATTCATATTTATTAAGTCATGGTATAAATAAATAGTTTGGGATCAATATAAGATGATTGGAGCATAATAGAAATCACATTGTTTTTTGATTGTTGTTATTTGCTATTTTTATATTCTTTATTCTTATCTGTATGATTGTCTCCTTCCATTGTTGTTATCTGCTTTAATTTTTCTGTTATTGTTCCATGTTTACCATTATTGTATTCTTATTTTATAACATTGATTACCAATGCTTGTATAATATTTACAGGAAATCACTTACATTTGAGATTCAAAGAAAATATTAAATATTTGTTTCTTTATTATTTTGTAATTCCTTTTTATTACCATTAATGTAAAGCAGTTATGTTCAGAATCATCCTCAGTAGGAAAAAAAGGGATGAGATAATGTAAGTTTTCCTTCTTCTGACTCCTTTTCAAGCATTTTTGTTTGTGTAATTTTGCTCTTTTAAATTTTTTTTGTCTGATTTATTAACCCAAATCCAATGTTGAATGTTTTCATGTTTTCTTCTCATGCATCTTGAAAATCCAACCAAACAAAAATATTATGAACTACCTGTATGTTTTTATTTTAAGATGCAGAAAATTGTTCTTTTGATGATTCTTAATTAAGGTATGTTTTATGTAGTAAAATGTAAATAGAAAGCTTTATAAATAATTTTCCGAAACACCTGACATTTTAGGAAAATTGTGCAGTTTGCTGCAACAAAGTTTAATATGATTAATAATTTTTTTAATGTATCTGGATCTTAAATAATGTCAGAGTACCTTCTCTCGGCTTTTCACAAATATGAAACAAGACAATATAACATCACAACACTACGTACATTTACAGAGAAATTATTTTAAAGAATAAAAAATGTTAAAGAATAAAGTGATAAACCTAATTTTGAAAAAAAAAAAAAAAACCAAGGCAAGGCAGCACAAAAGGAAACCTTATAACAAGATCATCACAAGATTTATTGTCTTTGCAAAGACATGAAACTATTTAGATGGTTTTTCTTTTTAGTACAAGAGCAAATAATTGATTCAGTAAATTAGCACAGATGCAAACTTAGTTTCACAATTTTCTCTTGTTTTGAACAAAATAAGCTATTCAGCTTAATTAAGAAGAGAACCAACCTAAACTCTGGGGCTCAGCGGAAGCGGCATGTTTAGAAACATTAAACTAGGTAGGGAACGGCCATAAATGCTATTGTGGAATCCTGATCCAGTTACTCAACTCAACTTTATTGTCAAATGTGCTACATGGTAAACATACAACACAGATGACATTTCAGTCCTCTCAACCCCACGGTGCATAATAAAATATAAAAAATATATATAATGAACCATAGCATAAAATAAAAATAAAAACCTAAGATATAAAAATAAATATTTAAATATGTAAATATGTAAACAGTAGCAGTTACATCCAGTTCTCTGTCCTACAAGAAACTATAGCAGAAACCAGGAAGTTATATGTGGCCACCAGATGTTGCTAAAGCACCAAAAGATGGTTCTCTAGTACAAGCAAAAATATATTTGGTTAAAACCTGACATAGTTGCTAATCAGAAAATCGTCTTGAAAGAAAAGACAAAGATTTATGCCAATTGTCCATTCCTCTTTATCATTTCTTCAGGCTGGAGAAACGATGAGTCTTACTGGCCAGAAAAAACAAAATGAAGGAAACTATTCATTCATCCAACAGTCACAGCATCTAATCAAATTGCACAAGGCCAGACATTTTGAACCAGATACATTTTCTGAAAGAACTGAGATTAAAGTCGTATTTAAATGTCAAATCATTCTGGCTTAAACATGTATATAAATGTATCCTTTATCAGACCATATTGTCCCAAAAGTTACAAAAAATCTGTCTTAAAATCTGTGTTTTTTTTCCGTTATCTTCTGCAGGCCAGTTAGTTCTACATCAGCCTGAACACCTAAATTCGGCCAATCATATATCAACGGTCATCTCAGTGGCGGCTGGTGAAAAATATTTTTGGTGGGGCTGATATAGCCTAGTGTATGTCTCCAACTAATCCGGAATAAGAATTCGATTAAACAATTGGACAATACATACAATTTAACAGTAATGATTTAATTTACTATATAATAACAGTAACAGTGATGATTTGGGTCACTGTGACGGGGTTCTTTGGCCTCCAAGAATCCAGGCTCAGTCGGGTTACCGGTGTTGCTGATTTATTGAGCTCAAAAAATCAAAACAGGGTGCAAAAGAAACTAAACATACAAGATACTCTGGGCCTCAGCCTCCCTCCAGTTACCAGCAATGTAACAAAGAAACAGACAACAAAAATTGCCGCTTTTCTTCCCACAGCCCTCATTAAATAGTTTAAGCCCCTCACCTCAGGCTCTCTTATTTCTGATTTCTTCTCATTAATCAGTTTTGTCCATATATTACCTCCACAAACAATTAATTTACAAAAACAAATAATTTTTACAACTTAATTCTTTTACACAGATTCATTGACTTATTCAATTACACCAAACTGGGTTTGAACCCAGCAAAGACGCAGCCAGACTGAAGATGACAAGTCCCCGCATAAACACGTACACACCCACACCCCCCACACACCCACACACACACACACACACACACACACACACACACACACACACACACGGCTAACCCCACTGAAATATTAAGTGTGCACCCTCAATACGCCAGCAGGTAACCAGGAACAGCTTGTGTGTTTTAAGTTCATGGAGCTACTGGTCTCAGCGCGAGTGTATTGGTCCTCACAAACACAGTATAACAGGAACGTGTGTGTGGCGCGCAAAGTTAGAGAGGTTGTTTTAAGCGACGAGGTGGATTCGTCACAGTCACAATAACCATGACATGAAATGTTCATATCCTACAACAGGGATGTTCTTCCGGCAAACGGGTAGATAAATAAGGATCTCACCGAATTTGGTGGAAGCTGCATCTTCCTTGTTACATTCGCCATCGTCCCTCTCATTGTCTGCACCTGCGCTTGGGTTCAGAAGCCTGTTAAAGCGCAGTATTTTCAGCGCCCCAAGACCATAAAGTTCCGAGACGCTGATTGGCCATTAAATTCACCTAGCAATAGTACATGATTGACAGATTTTCTGCAAATGTGGGTCAGTCTGATCAGCGCCCCCAGAACAGAGACGGTAGGAGTCTGTCTGTGGAAATCCACAAATTAATGACAGTAGATAGGGAAATGTAGTTTATATAATTTGTTTTGCTTATAGGTACACAGTCTAGAGAGTAAAACTGACATTTATGATTTAATTTCTAAAAATATATTTTACGTTTCTCTCTTCTTATCAGGGAGGGCGGTGCCCCAGCACCCCCTATGGGCCGGCCGCCACTGGGTCATCTGTCAATCAATTTTTTCAGTCATAGCATCTTGATTCATATGTCGCAGCTACAACGGTTGAAATCAGAATCCTTTCCTTTCCCATTGAGTTCCGTCCCAGTGTTCCCGGGGATGGACGTCTGTGTCTTCGGCAGGCGTAGAGCTAACAGAACTGGCAGCGTTGCGAGGCAAGGGCTCAAACATGTACGGCTGGAAGCCTTCTACACCAAACCAAGCTTCTGCCGCCCTGGCGTCCTCTTCCACAACATCTTCGTCCCCGCTTTCCTCCTCTAAATAAAAAATGGATGACGGAGGAGACTCATCCACGACCTCCGACACTAAACTCTCCTCCTCTTGCATGTTTCCGCTGTCCATAGGCATGGGCGTAGGTTTGCATAGGGACCATAGGGACATGTCCCTACCAAAATTTTGGACGGACCTATTTGTCCCTACCAATAATTGGATGTGAACAACATGTTTATAATTTACTATACAGCAGCCGCTTCTTTTCCTCTCGCCGCTTCTCTGCCTGGTAGCTGCAGCTGCCTGCTCTTTCCTGTCCCTTTCACATAGCAGCGCATCAACTGTGCTGCGCGGTTTAACTCTCTGATTATTCTGCCTTAAGCTCTCTTTCTGATTGCGTGTTTTCTAGTCTGTATGCGCGCGCGCGGGTGCTTGGAGCGCGGAAAAAAAGACGCTAAAATAAATTAATATTGGGCTACGAAACTAGTCCGAATTAAAAAACTTATTATCTACGCTAAAACAGGCCAAAGCTTCTGACTGGAGTTCTGTAAAGAAGCAGGAGAGAGTTTTATTGATTTGTGGAACTTGAGAAATGTAAGTTAACAACGTTAGGATTTCTTTTATTTTATCTTTTAATCAGATAGCCAAAGGCTCCTTAAAGAAGATCTTTTATGAAATGAAACCAGGTGACAGAAACGTTTAAATGTTTCTTTTGGAGGAGTTCTGGATGGAGAATATTGACAGACAAAAACTATTTTTTTTTACTTCTTAAATGCAAAATGTTAACATATTTTTTACAATCTTCCTGCTCTAAGTGGGTCGCTCTGTCGGCTAAAGGCACATTTTAGTGGCCCTATACTCCAGTTTACGATTAATTCATTGCTAAATTAGTTCACGATTATTTAAATAATTTGTTAATATGATTAATTGTTTCAGCCATAGATAAAATACATGAAATTAGCTACACAGAGTAACTACAGCCCAGATGTACAACTTCTAATATTAATATTTTAAATGCTCAGTGTCAGTTCCTCTTCTAGTTCCAGTGCACATGTAAATACAATACATTTATTTGCCGTCCCTTGAATGTATTATTTTGCATGATCCAGAGAGAGCATATTACATAAAAAAAAAAATAAGAGTGGGTTTTACCTCTGCACAATTCTATATCTTCAGAACAAAACACAGGATAAATCCACATATTATAGACTATATTTGGTTAAACAGACACTGTCTTAGTCGCAGGTAAATTTAAATGCAATCCTTTTCAAAGTGGAAAAAGTCCTAATTCCACATTCATCAGAGCCAGTTATGCTTTAAATATTGATAAACAGTATCTAGTGCATGTAGTGCTTATAAGATTTGTATTAATGTAGCAAGAAATGCTGCTGTTCTCTTTAAACAAAATTAGCCCTGAAGCTCAAATTAAGCATAAAAAAGAGCATGCATATTTTTGCAAAGGACCGATGAAACTGAAGAATAGTGTCCCTACCAAAGTTAAAATCAAACCTACGCCCTTGTCCATAGCGTTCCTTGACAGCGTTGTTTCTAAGTCACCAATTTAGTGCTACTTGGTCCCAATGGAATTTCCCATTGGGAACCTGCTAGCACTAAGTTGCTAACTGGTTAGCAAGATGCTTTCCACAAACCGGCCACAACCAAACATGCTTGCGAACTTTCTGTTAGGTTTATTCCTTGATGATTATAAAGTTAATGTGTGCATATAAAACATTGAAGAAATAAGATGCTACATTCTGTCCTGTGATTCAGTCAGGAGGGGTAATTTTGTTTATTTCAGGGTCATTTCACTTTATGGCCTGCCTCCAGCCAGTTGGTCATTAAGCAGGGTCATGCTGTTTTATGACCTGCATCATGTCCACCCAGCAGGACGAACACAAGCTTTTGGATTACGGTTTGTTCAGAAATACTTTTTGGGGCCCTCTAACTTAGTGTGGAGGGATGTGGCATATGCTGTATTTTTAGACACGGGAGCAAGCTGGGGCTGGATGCTGCTTCGTTGTTTTTTTTAAAAAGATTAAAATCTTTTAAAGTTAAGGGAATTACCTAAGTTTTATCAAAGTGTTTTTAAATCACTCGCCCTGGACAGGACAGTTTCGGCCTATATTATTGAGTTTCACCTGTTGGCAGCAGACAGTAATTGAATGAGGAGGCCCTAATGGATGTTTTTCTGAAGGATCCCAAGGATTATCAATGAAACAACAGTTTGAGAGTTGGAGGCGCTGGCTTCATGTATTGAGGGAAAGTAGGAGAGAGGCGTTTTGGGACCCTTACTGGAGTCAGTTCAGCTCCTATACCCTGAAAAAGAGAGACCAGTTCAAATTTGTCTGCTGAACCTAAACCCATGCAGCTCGGCCGAACCAGGCTCTCCACAGAGAAGTGTTCCCGCAGGTTTCAGCTTAACCTTAGCCTGTATTGTGGGACACCACGTGTCCAGTTATCGGTCAAAAGGGCAAGATCAGTAGAGGGGGTGGGAATTCTACTGAGCCATACTAATACATTTAAATCCCCCTCTCTCACCATCCCTGCCACGCTTACCATCGGATTCAGGACCACATAGCCAAGTGGCCTGGGTCATGAAAAGATCAGATCCAGGTCGCATATGGGCAAAAAATCATTGGATTTGAGTCACTTCAGGCTGAAATATGAACGTAGCCAAAGTTTTCTATCTAAGGAAAACCAGCTGATTGCATCGACTCATTGACTCTTCAGCAATCCCTCACACTAAGCATGCTTGTAGTGACAGTGGAGAGGAAAAACTCCCTTTGAACAGGAAGAAACCTCCAGCAGAACCAGGCTCAGTGTGAGCGGCCATCTGCCGAGGCCGACTGGGGTTCAAGGAGACAGAAGCAGACATAGAAAAAGAAGCATAGATACAAAAGGCAACTGTCAACCAGCTCCACAGGCGGCCCCGTCCAGGAAACACACAGCCAGGCAGACGAGCTCCGAGCCAGCTCCCATGTTTCTTAGCCAACATGTTTCAGCGAACAAGACATTCTGTTTACTGGTTACCACTTTTCAACTATTCAATAATCTACTTTAGAGTCATTTTCATTCTAGTCTTTTAATTTCTTTAATCTACCCATTTTGTTAAAATAATTTATTTGTCCTTTATTTATTAGTTTCATTTTGTAATTGTATAATTTACCACACAGTGAGCATTGTATAATCCAACTTTAAATTTTTCATATTTCTACACGTTACAGGCAAATACTACGGAGCCCCCTAGGGGACATGGGGAATTTTTTTTCTTTTGCGTTACCTCGCAAAACTTTTGCGTTCCCTCGCAATACTTTTGCGTTCCCTCGCAAAAACTTTTGCGTTCCCTCGCAAAACCTTTTGCGTTACCTCGCAATAGGGCTTGGTCGTCGTGACGTCACCACTTTGCGTGGTCGCCCTGTTGACGGCGCACTTTACGGCTTCCTTAGACTATTGCCTGTGACTAACGCGTACTGTACTCCCTCTCAGCCGTGTTTTATTTCGTTTAATTTCACCGTAACTTGATTTCAACCATGGTAAACCGTTGCTGTATTGTGGGCTGTAACAGCGCATCACATGATCGCCGAGGGAAAAACCTACAAAATGGGATAACTTTCCACCGCTGTCCTGCCTGGAGGCGCAAACACGGAGACCAAGTTTCACAGATAACAAAAAGTCGTCGGCTAGCTTGGATCGCGGCTGTGAGACGACAGAACAGAACTTTCCACAGTATCCTGATGTCAATGCGAGTGTGTTCCCTGCATTTTCATTCTGGTAAGTTAAAGATGCACGGTTTTATTTTATAGCCTACAGTGTTTCCTTCCTTCATCCGTGGCACCACATACATGCATGAACGCGCGCCCAGAGACTGTTGATATAGCATTTTCATCCTCGTTGGTTGATATAGCATTTTATCCTCTTTGGTAGAACACACTGCCAGTTCCTACAAGGACAGGGACATCCCTCTCCATTTTCAAAAAAAACCCTGAGGTTGACAGCTGTCATAGCACCACTTATAAATTTTGCTGATCCTAGCGCTTACCAGCCGTCTTGTAATGTAATGTAATCATATAATACAATATAATAATGTGTATATTGAGGATCATTGATAACATTATGGTTCTGTATGTGTTCAACACTGCTGCTGTGGATAATAATTTTAAATTGTGTCACCAGGAAAACCAGCAAATGAAATGTACACCTCACATCCGGATTGGGCACCATCACTACACTTGGGCCACACTGAGATAAAGGCCACACAGACTGCACGCTATGAGAGACAGGAAAAGAGAAAACGGCAAAGGACTGACAGTACACCTGCGAGGATGAGACAGCTATTGATGACCTTGTTCCGCCCGGTAAGCCTTACAGAGCCAGCAGATTCAACACCGTATGTTGCTTTTGTGGCTTTTTCAGCTGCATGATGCACATTTAGCTAAAAGATGTCCTTATTTTATCCATAGTGGAGACACCAGCACCAGCTGAGGATGGAGCTGAGCAGACACCGCTGACAGAATGTGACTTCTGTCAGCGCCGGCGTGCTGAAATCAACCGGCTGCTGGAGGAGAACAGGACCCTGAAATGTGAGCTTGGCCAGAGACTTCAAGCTTAACACTAGCTTTGTGACCATTCATTCAGTGAAAGGAATCTCAAATCGTCATCAAAACATTTATTCAAAATATTAAAAAAAAATTTAAGAATAATTTGCTGAAATAGAAATCAGCATTTGTTTGATACTTAGTGTTAGAAAAAAAAAAGTGTCCTAACAGGTTTTCTGAACCATCTTCTAATCTAGTCTCCCCCAGCTGCTGGTAGAAACAAGATTTTTTTACCATCATTCAGAAACTGGATAGGTGTTACATCTGTATTTTGTTGAAAATCATTTATTGAACATTGTTATTAATAAAATTTTAAGGAACAGATTAAATAGTCAAAGATCCGCAAAATATAAAAAAATAAACAATAGTGCAGTGCTGTGGCCATTCAAGTTAACTCCTAGTTTGAATCAGTCTTTCAAAGTGAACTATTTAGAAAAATGAGTGCAGTATTGACTGCGGGTTATTAAATCTGACCTCATAAAACACTGTAACGGGTAACTTTGAGCTTAAATCATTCAGTCAGAGGTATTATGCAGGTTTAAATGTCCTGTGCTCATTTCATTTCTTTTTCTTTTAAGTGATATAACAATATAACAGCGTGGTTGTTATACTTTACTGTTGTATAACTATGATTTATATGATATGTATACACATGCATGAGGGGTTGAGGTTAACGTTTACTTTCCTGCATAGAATGAAATATAATGGTGTCCTTACCTGCATAATTTATGTCTATTTTTTTTCTCCTCAGGTCTTGCACTCTCAGCGCATTAATGAGACTCCCCTGAAGCCATGGGTCATCATTGCTGACGATGGGCAGGTTTGCTGTGCACACTGTACATGCATGGCTGGAATTGCAGAGGCATGTACACATGTTGGGGCTCTGCTGTTTAAGATTGAGGCAGCAGTCCGCATCCGTGGGAAAAAGACTGTGACAGATGTGCCAGCTTATTGGAAAATACCAGCAGGTATCAACAAAGTCAGCGGTGAAGTCGCCCACAAGATGGACTTCACTTCATCCAAAGCGCAGAGGATTGCTCTGGACAGAGTCATCGATGACAACATTCCCATGCCTGGCCTACGGACACGGGCCAGCAGACGCACTGCCCAAGCCACATTGGACGACTTATCGTCAATGTTCCCTGTTCTTCAGAACCATAGGTCAGTTTGTATGTCCACAGTGAAGCCCTACTTTCACAACTATGCTGCTCCTGTCCAGCCAGCTGTGATCCCAAAACCCCTGCAAGACCGTCTGCGCGACCCAAAGTTTGAAAATGCTCCACCAGCTGTCCTTCTCCAGCACTGTGAGACAGTGAAAGACATTGCAGCTGCATATTATTGCACGTCGTTATATTACAATACAATTATAGATTATATTATTGTATATCATGACATATTGCATCGCAGCCTTTATTTATACAATTTAAGAAATGCATATTGTTAAAAGTAATTATATAAGACATTGCACTAACATTGTTTTTTAATGTGTACTATAGTACCGGTAATAATTTGCACTACTTCAAATGTTATTGATATCTGTTATTACTTAATTTGATCTACCTCCAATTTTTATGTTTGTAATTGATGTTTCATAAATACGTATTTTTTATTACTTTGGAATTTTTTTTATACATAGACATTTTTTATAAAAAGCATAGTATTTTGTATTATTACATTGTATTGTTATATTTGCATATTATTGCACGTTGTTATATTATACAATTATAGATTATATTATTGTATATCATGACATATTGCATCGCAGCCTTTATTTATACAATTTAAGTAATGCATATTATTATAAATACTTATATAAGAATTTGCACTAACAGTGTTTAACTGTTAATGTTTACTATAACTACAATTTGTATAATAATAATTTGCAATATCTCCACTTTCCATTTCTCCATTGATGTTTCATTAAGACCGACTTATTAATAGGATTGAACATTTTGTATAAATACATACTATGTTATTGTAAGTAATTGCACTGCATTTTCATCGCGTCCATTTTTTATTTGTAACCATTTACCTACAAGCATTCAAACTGCACTGCTCTGTTCTGCGCTGCACTGTGTTCTCAAGTTTCACTACTTGCAAATAAACACTGAAAAGGATCTGATCGTTTGAGACCTCTTGCTTTTGGGTATGGATGCAAAACACACCTATGGCTAAAAAACAACCCACTTGTTAAATGTTTGCTTAGAGTGTATTGTTGATACAAAGAAATTGTCAATTCCATATTGAGCATCAATCTTTTCTTTAATACAGTAATTCATAAACACCAGAATAAAGTGGTTGACTTTAAGGTGTGGAAGTCCAGTGTAGTATTTCACTTTGACGGCGTCTTCCTTCAGGAAATCTTCATCCATTTTTCTCTGGCCAAGCTCACATTTCAGGGTCCTGTTCTCCTCCAGCAGCCGGTTGATTTCAGCACGCCGGCGCTGACAGAAGTCACATTCTGTCAGCAGTGTCTGCTCAGCTCCATCCTCAGCTGGTGCTGGTGTCTCCACTATGGATAAAATAAGGACATCTTTTAGCTAAATGTGCATCATGCAGCTGAAAAATCCACAAAAGCAACATACGGTGTTGAATCTGCTGGCTCTGTAAGGCTTACCGGGCGGAACAAGGTCATCAATAGCTGTCTCATCCTCGCAGGTGTACTGTCAGTCCTTTGCCGTTTTCTCTTTTCCTGTCTCTCATAGCGTGCAGTCTGTGTGGCCTTTATCCAGTGTGGCCCAAGTGTAGTGATGGTGCCCAATCCGGATGTGAGGTGTACATTTCATTTGCTGGTTTTCCTGGTGACACAATTTAAAATTATTATCCACAGCAGCAGTGTTGAACACATACAGAACCATAATGTTATCAATGATCCTCAATATACACATTATTATATTGTATTATATGATTACATTACATTACAAGACGGCTGGTAAGCGCTAGGATCAGCAAAATTTATAAGTGGTGCTATGACAGCTGTCAACCTCAGGGTTTTTTTTTGAAAATGGAGAGGGATGTCCCTGTCCTTGTAGGAACTGGCAGTGTGTTATACCAAAGAGGATAAAATGCTATATCAACCAACGAGGATGAAAATGCTATATCAACAGTCTCTGGGCGCGCGTTCATGCTTGTATGTGGTGCCACGGATGAAGGAAGGAAACACTGTAGGCTATAAAATAAAACCGTGCATCTTTAACTTACCAGAATGAAAATGCAGGGAACACACTCGCATTGACATCAGGATACTGTGGAAAGTTCTGTTCTGTCGTCTCACAGCCGCGATCCAAGCTAGCCGACGACTTTTTGTTATCTGTGAAACTTGGTCTCCGTGTTTGCGCCTCCAGGCAGGACAGCGGTGGAAAGTTATCCCATTTTGTAGGTTTTTCCCTCGGCGATCATGTGATGCGCTGTTACAGCCCACAATACAGCAACGGTTTACCATGGTTGAAATCAAGTTACGGTGAAATTAAACGAAATAAAACACGGCTGAGAGGGAGTACAGTACGCGTTAGTCACAGGCAATAGTCTAAGGAAGCCGTAAAGTGCGCCGTCAACAGGGCGACCACGCAAAGTGGTGACGTCACGACGACCAAGCCCTATTGCGAGGTAACGCAAAAGGTTTTGCGAGGGAACGCAAAAGTTTTTGCGAGGGAACGCAAAAGTATTGCGAGGGAACGCAAAAGTTTTGCGAGGTAACGCAAAAGAAAAAAAATTCCCCATGTCCCCTAGGGGGCTCCGTAGTATTTGCCTGTAATGTGTAGAAATATGAAAAATTTAAAGTTGGATTATACAATGCTCACTGTGTGGTAAATTATACAATTACAAAATGAAACTAATAAATAAAGGACAAATAAATTATTTTAACAAAATGGGCAGATTAAAGAAATTAAAAGACTAGAATGAAAATGACTCTAAAGTAGATTATTGAATAGTTGAAAAGTGGTAACCAGTAAACAGAATGTCTTGTTCGCTGAAACATGTTGGCTAAGAAACATGGGAGCTGGCTCGGAGCTCGTCTGCCTGGCTGTGTGTTTCCTGGACGGAGCCGCCTGTGGAGCTGGTTGACAGTTGCCTTTTGTATCTATGCTTCTTTTTCTATGTCTGCTTCTGTCTCCTTGAACCCCAGTGGGCCTCAGCAGATGGCCGCTCACACTGAGCCTGGTTCTGCTGGAGGTTTCTTCCTGTTCAAAGGGAGTTTTTCCTCTCCACTGTCACTACAAGCATGCTTAGTGTGAGGGATTGCTGAAGAGTCAATGAGTCGATGCAATCAGCTGGTTTTCCTTAGATAGAAAACTTTGGCTACGTTCATATTTCAGCCTGAAGTGACTCAAATCCAATGATTTTTTGCCCATATGCGACCTGGATCTGATCTTTTCATGACCCAGGCCACTTGGCTATGTGGTCCTGAATCCGATACGAATCATATCTTTTCAAATGCCAGGTCAGATTCATCGACCTGGGCGTCATTAATACCCTACAAACGTCACTATTCTGCGTCTTGCTATGCAGAAGCAGCAAAAAAAACAACAACCATGGAGGACGATAACACAGAGAGCAGTATTTATGTTTAACCATATTGAAAAGTTTGAGTTTTTATGGTTGGAAAAGATCGCCAGATACGCGCCGGCACTTCCATCCATGTTTACTCCTGTAAATATAGAGCATGCTGCCTGTGATGTCATTGCGTCCTCTACTGCGCATGTGGGACACTTGCATTTTTATGACTGTAGTTCACACAGGAGATCATATACAAGTCGCATATACTGTATTTGGAAATATGAACGGGAACGCAAAAAAAAAATCAGATTTCACAAAAAAATCGGAATTGAGCATTAAGGCTTGCAGTGTGACAGGACAGGAGAATGTATGAGTAGCTTCTGCTATCGCATATATTGGTCAGATTCTAAGATTTCATCTTTGAAAGAGAAACAGTCAGAACATTAAAGTATACATTTTTGTGGTTTCTGATGGCTTGTGCTGGTATTTCATCTCTTACCTTGACTGGATTAAACTACAGTTTAGTAGTGAGCCTCTAGGTGTCACTGCATTCAATCAGCTCAGAAGATTCAGCTGAATGTTCCATGTTTCTCTGAGATCCAATCAGAGCGGGTAGAGATCGATAATGTTCAATTTCAGCGACTGCGTCCTCCAAGGACCTGGTCTATCTGGACTGGATCCTAGAAGGTTTTCCAAAATAAGGTGGCTGGAAGAGTTTAGCTGTGGATTCAAACAGGTCCAGCCTTTGCTGACTTTCACCACCTGTATGCTCTGTTGCCTAGCAACCGTTACAGTTGACACAAAAAGCAGGCCAAGAACGGATACTGAACTTCTCACTGCTGTTCTGAGTGCTAATAACATTTCTGAGGAGCTTCAGCAGAAGTACCGTCGTCTGAGATATCAGATCTATAGTCCCCACACTGCAGAGATGCAACATATTCTCATTATCAGTTCATATGAAATCATACGTAAAGTTACGCACAGTATTTTGTACGTTTTTGACGTTTTTCCTCAAAAAAACAGATCAGTGCGCATGAGCAGCCAGACAGACGAAAAAAGCAGATCAACGGACGGACGTAAAACTGGGAAAAACAGTGCAATAATTACTTCTTCAGGTCTCTAACTAGGTTGCTTGCTGTTTTGTATCTTAGGGTTAGGCTTAGGGTCAGGGTTAGGGTTAATTGTATGTTAAATTCTATGTTATTTAATGGTGCGTAAGATGCGCATGCGCAAGCATATCTTGTCTCGAGGCAAGATGTAAAAATATGACGAAATGTGACAAAAAACGTCAAAAACGTACGAAATTACTGTGCATAACTTTTCGTACGATTTCATACGAACTGATAATGAGAATATACTTAGAGATATTAGAATCTGAGCTTCAATATACAAACCCGTTTACCCAGGGACAAATAAAACCTTTCAGTAAACCAAACATTACACGCCACATATCTGACTCAATAAGCATTTAAATAGGGTGACCATATTTTCATCTGGGAAAACCAGGACACCTTGGAGCTTTTGATTGAAAGAACAAATGTCTCATCATCGGGATTTGCTCCGTGATGAGAGGAAATGTAACTTGTTACTAGTTGTTTTAATGGTTATAGAGTCAGATATGTGGCGGTAATGTTTGGTTTATCTAAAGGTTTTTATCTGTTACTGTGTAAATGAGTTTGGCTGTAATTTAAGGACAGATTCTAATAGATCTGCAGGGTGGGGACTATAAATCTGATAGGATTTTAATTTTTTTTATTGTTGTTTTGCACAATATGCTTAACTAAGTATTTTTTGTTGTTGAATATTAGAGATTTTGCAGATACATTTTGTAGATACATTGTTTAGATTAACTTATATATTTCTAACCCTTTTATAGAATAGAATAGAAAATCCCTTTATTGTCCCACAATGGGCAAATTTACAGCAACAGAAAGATTATTGAAAATGGTCACACAAATGTGGACCATAGAAAAATGTATAAGAATAACATAATAGCGAAGAGTTAAAATATAAACAATAAAATACTGTAAAGTCTTTAAACAATATAAAACTGGAGAATTAATAACCAATATGCAGCTATGGACATTTTTACAGTAATGGATATTTGAAAATAGCAGCAACATCAGAGATGTGCAGAATGACAGCAGCAGGTTATTTAACTGACTAAGGTTTCTATCATTACATTTGATTTTATTTGTTCCTGCTCCCGCTGTTGGAACATTTATTCCACTCTGGATTATTGTGAGTGTAGTCTTTGTTCACTTTAACTTTTTAAAAAATAAATAAATAAACAAACAGTTTTGAAAACCTCGGCAATTCATTATTTTCCTGCTTTGTGTGTCAACTTTCACGGTTGCTAAGCAACAGAGCAAAAAACCGCTGAAGGGTGGACCTGTTCGAATTTACAGCCAAAACTCTTCCGGCCTCCTTATTTTCAAGGACTTCGAAGGATCCAGTCTAGGTAGACCGCGTCCTTGGAGGATGCAGCCCAGGTTTTCGAACAGAGCCTCTGATTAAGAACAGGGCTGCCCGCACTGACGCGGCTCAGGGATTACGTCACACAGAGCGTTGTGCGCAGTGAAATCAGGACATTTCCTCACTTTCTAAAAAAAACCTGGGACGCCCGGGACAGGACGTGAAATACGGATATGTCCCGGGAAATACGGACGTTTGGTCACCCTAATTTAAAACCACTATTTTTAATTATTTCAGACGGAACTATTCGCATAGTTGGATTATATTAAACTGCATTTCCAATATTCACCATTGTTAGGTGCCATTCTCTTTTTCCTCTGAGCACGGAGCAGTTGGCTCGAACAGGCCTTGGTGCCGCGCTATGACGTAATCGGCAAACGAATCTGGCCTTCAGAGGATTCAGCCACTGAATTTGAACTCAGTGTTTGTGTAGCTGAGCTTTACTGCTACACATTGTCAATCTGGTTTGCCAGGTTACCATAAAACACCAAATAAATAAAAACCACGTAGACAGGAACATCTGGAACATGGTTCCATCTTGTCTTTGCACTAAGGACAGAATATGAAGCTTGAATTGTCTCTTGATATTTTCTCCCCAGACCATGTTCGCTGCTGAAACCAAAGCATTGGTGAAAAACACCGGAGCGGAAGATGATCTGATTGCTAACTGTAATTTAAATAAAAAGATGGAAATTCTGACTCTAGTTCGGATCAGAAAGGGAAGCATCTTTCAGTACCCCAAATACAAGCCCCTGAACATCACTCTACCTGAGCTGATGAAGGAGCAGGACTTTTCTCCAGGTGAGTCATCTGAAGCTCACAGACACACAAACAGTGGACTAGAGTGATTTTAGGACATTTCTGCCTTAATGACAGATTTTGAGGAGAAAGTCTTGGTGGACGACTTTAAGACTTGGGTCGAAACCAGCGGCAGCAGCAAACTGGGCGGAGGACATGACGCTGTTGGTAATGCGGAAATGTCTGGGAACTATGACTCTGTGGATGGTCTGGCTGAGCCGGTCAGCATCAAGAAAAAGAAAGTCCACCTTCCAGATGTGAGGAGCAGGTTTAGCGGCAGGTACAGGTATTTTATGTTGTTCTCACCTGGTGGATCCTTCTGGTTTCTGACTGATTCTTCTGCTGATGTTCTCCTCTTAAGGATGATAAAAGGAGACACCCTGAAGCTGCTCAAGCTAAAGGAAAAGGACAAACTGGCCGTTGTTTATGAGACTGTTTACAACAGCGGAGCTGTGACCATAATCAGCAAAAGGAAAAAAGACGGATGCATCTCAGCTTCTTTCAATAAAATGGCCAATCTGTTCTTTAAGGCGAGTAAGAAATGCTGGCAGAACATCTTTCTAGAAATCTAACCCTGAAGGAAAAGATCTAGAATCTGATTGTAGTTTCCAACTCAACAACATCATTGTATTAGAGCTTCATCAGGTTGTAGCTGTTTCTTTCAGGGATCTGCAGGGTTCTGGTAGATCTCAGACCCAGGTCCCAGCATCATTCTCAGACCATTCTCTGACCTCCTGGGTTCCGTTCAGGTTGCAGAACGTGTCTCTGGACTGTAGGAGGGCATCCAGCTTAGGGCTTCCTCAGTGGAACCATCCTATTCACACAGGAAGCTAACACACTTCTCTGGAGCATTGAAAGAGAACACAGATACAGAGACCTGGAAATGTTCAGGGGTAGGGAGCAGGGTTGGCCTTCTACTTACCAACCAGCAAGGAGCTGGTGGCGGAGCACAGAAGAGAAACAGACGATCAGCCCACCGCTCAGCACAACCAGGCAGATCTTAAGGATTGACAGAACCTAGAAGAGACCTATAACTGACCTTTAAAGAGAAGCTAGAGAGACAATAAAAATCTTCTAAAATTTATCCAGGACTTTTAAAGCAGTGGTTTCCTGTTCCATATGTCCAGGGATGATATCCTGGATATTTGAGGTCTTCCCTCTCCAGCACAGCTGATCCTAGACGGAGAATTTTCTTCTCAATGTGTCATACAGTTCTTTTAGTGACTCAGTTATTTAAATCAGGTCTGCTGGAACTACAAACAAGCCTTAAGGCTGATTTATGCTCAGAAACCAGGTTGTCTGCGTGTGTCACAGTTAACGCAGATATGCCCCGCCCCTTCCGCAGACACCCTGGTGCACCTCTCCGAAATTGTAGGTGACCGCAGACAGGAGGCTTCTGATTGGTCAAATCTATATCTGCTCTACACTATGTGCATTTCGTATTCGGTACCTTAGCGGCTTGTTTTGCTTGTCTGACCGCCATTGTGGAAAACGACTGGTGAAAATGGACCAGCTAGAAGAGCGAGGTGCGTGAGAACGCTGGGACCCTTTTTCCACCTGGATTCCCGCTCTTTTTGGCCCTCATGTCCCTCCGTTGTCGCACAAACTTGCCCCCACCTCCTCACCGCCTCGGCCGTATCTAGACTCACAGCTAGTTCCTGACTGGCCCTCTGGCGTTGTGGGGTGGAATAACATAGCGCAGACCACACTTCAATATTGGGCATAAATCAAAAATATCTGCGACAAACTCACTGTGTCACACTGCTGTGGGAGGATAACAGACCTTTACAGAATTGATATTAGACATTAGCATCTTAGACCTTTTTCCAAGGCCTCAGGGACTCAGCCATCAACATTAAGCCTCCATGGACATGAAAACAACATGAGAAGTTAACATCAGATGTTCTTCTTCAGGATCTGATTCCCTCAAATGTTCAGGTGTGGCTGAATGATGACTAGAGGACCTACAGAACGTTCTGATGTATATAAGTGAAGCTGGTGCCTTTTTTTCTTGGTTTTGGGAATCAAACTCATAAAAGCTGCTCCAAGAGGAATATTTCCTCAATTTATGGTTCAGGTCATCACAGCCCAGTAAAACAGAGCCTAGCATGCCCCCTGCTGGTTGCATTCAGTCTATACCATCTGGTGGAAATGAGTCTCAGACTGTGCTGGTGAAGATTCTCAGTCATCCAGGTCATAGTCATTCCAAAAAAGTTAAAAACAATCCACTGGACTTTATTTCCAAGTTTCAAGACGTTTCTCTTCCCATCCAGGAATCTTTTTCAATTCAAAAGGTTAGAAATAGAGTTACGTTTGAGGTTCTTATACAGTATCCCATAAACGCTCTTCGAAAAACATGCATATTGAAGCAGATGAACAGGGCCTGGCGCTTTGCAATGGGGGTTACTTGGCTTCTCTTGTTAGTCTACTGTATAAGACCCTCGAACTCAACGCTATTTTTGACATTTTGAATTGAAAAAGTTTCCTGGATGGGAAGAGAAACGTATTCAAACTTGGAAACGAAGTCCAGGATTGTTTTTTAACTTTTTTGGAAAAAGAGTCTGACTCTGTTTCTGTGAATGCTCAATCTCTGTTTGTTCCATCAGGGCGACTCGAAGCAGGACACCAGCTTTACTGTACCAGAAAATTGCACCTTTGCTTTCAGCCTGGTGGAGCTCCTCCTGGAGGATGGGAAGATCGGTAGGAGGGTTCTTCGAGTGTTTCTGTACAGAACGTTAGATTATTGTTTGGAGAGATAATTCCTTCTTCTGTGTTCTTCAGAAATCTCACTAGAAAGCTGGACTCATACACGAAGAGGTTGGTTTCTGACTTCTGACTTTCTGACTGATTTGTTTTTAAGCTCTTTGAGTCTTTGGGTTCAGATCTGGTTCAAGTACATCTATTCCACTTTGATCAGCCTTTCAGTCCTAAAGATAAATTAAAACCAGTTAAATCTGCCAGATCTGCCTTTCACAGAATCAATCCATTAATGTTAGAATGAAATAGATTAAAAAAAACATTATATTATAGGAAAAATGCTAATAGAAATCATAAACCTAAACAGCATAGAAAACACATGACAGAATGTGTCTAGAAGAGATTTTAGAGTAACATATGGGTGACCCCTGCTGGAGACATTGGCTCACTGCAGGTGAGCAAATGTCATTGAGATGCTGGCAGATTTTTAAAGATAAATATTTAAATATAGATTTTTATAATATAGATATTTACAGATTTTTAAGTATAGATGTGTGCATATATTTCACTAAGGTGTTAACAGCAATTTACATATGTTTGATAATGTTTAAATACTAATATAATACACAGATAGATCTTTATTATAGATGGTGATAAATATTAAAATACAGATGTCTACAGATATTTACATATAGATATTTGAAGGTATTTTAATGCAGATATGATGTACAGTTGTTTATTTAATCTCAATACAGGCATTTATTTAAATCTAAATTGTTATAGATCTTTAGATATAGATATTTATAGGTCTATAAAGGAAGCTTGCAATTGGTAATATAAAATACGGATTTGATATAATGATCCTTATTGATCTCTAGATGTTTAGAGGTTTTTATATATAAATGTTTATAGATATTAAAGTGAGATCTTTAAGGATGTTAAAGTATTGAAGTTTACAGATATTTGAAAACAGATAAGCTACACAGATGTTTGTAGGTCTTTGTAGATGTTTTTGTACAGATGTATATTTCTGACCTCATTTTTTCCACAGCGTTTTTTTTTTTTTTTTTTTTGTTTTGTTTTTTTGAATAAATGTGTATGTGTTTTATAAATTGTTTTAATGTTTTCCATATAACAAAAAAGGAAAATATCTGATTTATTGTTTTATTCATTCTTTTGTTCGCAGGTCTGAGCCACGATGCTCTGAACTATGAGATGATGGAACAAGTCAGAGAAGGTGAGTCTGGTTCCTGGGAGGATTTCCAGAAAGTTCTCAGCTGCCTGTTGATGCCCAGCTGTGGTTGAAGTTCAGCTTCTGCTTCGACCGACGCTTTGATATTAAACTACAACATTAAAACACTTTTGATGGGAAGCGAAAGAAAGAAAATTACATGTCTGATTTCTCTTCCTTCTTGTAAAAGTTCTGTTGTTAACTCTAATTATTTATGAGTGAAGCTGCTCTCCAACAATCTGAGCTGCTTCTTCCTGGTTTCTGCTGCGTTTTTTCCTGCAGGGATTGAGATGAAGGAGTTTCTACTGAAACCATTGGAAGAACTTCCTGAGTCGACTCGTCGTGAGCTGCTGAAGGGTCTTCAAGATGTTCTGGAGGAAGGAGACGCTCTGAGTCTCCTGGGGGAGACGGTACGACTGAAACACAAGCCACAGGATCTTGGGGGGTTGTAATTCTGGGTTGGATAACAACCATATTTCATCTCCATTTATCTGTTTTGCTCTGACGGTTTGTAAAGAAACGATTCTCCAACATGTTGTTCTTCCTTTCAGATGGATCAGAGCAGTGAAGGAGAGTATGAGCATCCCCGCTCTCAGGCCATCTCTAACCTCATGGACCTCCTGGACCGGTCCAAAGGGTCCAAAGCGGTGAAGGACTCTGTTCTCCTGCTGGTCTCAGCCATGGAGGGTAGGCCTGAAGAACGTGTAGATTTCAGGTCCATTTAGGTTTTTTTAGGTTTTCAGACTCATGGATCCTTTGAACTCTATCCTGTATGTTTTGTGCAGCTCTGCCAGAGGTAATGGTGCGACCTTTGACCTTCTGTGATCCTGAAACTCTCACAGTCCTCAGCCAGCTGGTTCTTATACATTTCTGTTTGATATTATGTTTGACCCAAAGTTGGATGGGAAAATATTTACTGACCTCTGCTGCCTCCATCTTTCTGTGTCTCCAGGTGAACAGCCTGAAGGACGAAGGAGAAGCCTCTCTCCCAGAGTCTCTGCCCGTCTCCCTGCAGCAGGACGGGGAGCTGCGCTGGGCGGCTGAGCTCCTCTGTGCGTCTGAAAAGACGCTGGCAGAGCTGAGTGACAGCTTGGACCAACCACCGGAGGTTCTACTGGAGGTTCTGGCTCTGACTGTGCTTGGAGTCCACATGCTGCAGCCCAGAGAGTGAAGCTGGTTCTGCTGGTGGAGCTTCAGGAGCAGCAATGCATTTACACCAAATGACCGGCCAAATTATTCCTCATTTTTTTCCAACAAACACCAAACACTGATGAAAGCAATTTTAATTTGCAAATATCAGGCTTTTAGAGTCCAGCAACTTTCAAAATAAGAGCAATCATTGATATTACAGAATCAGCTTTCTTTGCCCGTTTCTTATACAAACTATACCTTTTATTTTGGTTCCACTTTAATGTTAAGACATTTTTTTAATTTACCATTTAATTTTATCCAATGTGAAGAAAAAAATGACAGATCAACATTTGAAACATACATTATACATTTAAGCCATATGACAATAATTAGAAAATTAAACCTTTACCTTTGACTTGTAGCCAATTTCCATTTATTTTTACGTTTTTCTTACGTTTTTTCATGTAAGAATATTCATTGTTTTTTTTTGTTTGTTTTTGGTTTTGGTGTAAGCCCATTTGTAATTCTGTAGTCCTTCCTGCAGGGGGTGCTGCAGCTCCCCCAGTACCCCCTGTTCCTGTGGTACTACAGACAGTAGCTTGGTTTCTGAGAGGAAAGACATTCCCCATCTATTTCAATTTTCATTCTATTTGCAGCTTTAATTCTTGGTTAAATACCAGTGCTGTAAAGTGCTTACAGAAGACTGATGTGCCTTTTAATCTATTTTATCCTCTCTGTAGTATTAACTTAGAAGAAACCTAGATGGAGTCAGTATTATAAGTAAAATAAGATAATTTGCCTGTTTTCTCTGCTTTGTACTTTTATTTTATATCATTTAACTTTTGTTTTTGTGGTTAGTTACAACATGGAACCTGCTCTTTTTGACTTCAGTCAGCGCTTTTATTTTACCACACCCTTTTTAAACAGGAATCTGTGCTTTTACTTGAGTAAATCATGTGAAAATGTTTGACACCTTTGATTACAGGGAAACTAAGTAAGGTAAGGTAAGACCTACCAAGTGATGCCAGAGTACAAACACAATGTTTGTTCTTTTTTTCCTTAATGTTCTTTTCTGGCAATATCTAACTTTCAGTCTCAAAACAGTCTTAAACCTATAAATGTATTTTTTCCATTTAAGGCAGAATGATCAGAGGAGGATTATTACAGAAAAAACCTGTCCAGTTTTTCTTTATCCTGTTAACTTAACCTGGTAAATAACTGAAATTCTAAATGGTTGGAACTGATCTGTAAGGACATTTTACTTTCTGGACCTGGATTATCCATGTCATGATGGGCACTAGAGAGTCAAGCCCAAGATGCAGAACACACACGGAGGAGACAGGGGAAAAGTGCAAAATGTTTAATAAGTCCAAATACACACAGAAAACACTGGGACTGGAATGGTTCAGGGGGGGGGGGGGGGGGGGGGGGGTTCACTGCAGTCTGTGCAGGGAACGGGGAATGGCTGGATGACAGGAAACAACAGGGGATATCCACATGGGAACCTCTTAGGGAAAACTCCACAGGGAAGTCAGCAGGTAGCATCCACGTAGGATTCTTGGGTTGGCTCACCAGGGCAGATTAGCTGGTTAGCTTTCCTAGAGCGTCAGGCTTGGGACTGGCTTCCTATGATGCAACTCTCCCAGAGCTGCAGGCCAGAGACAGGTTGCCAGAGAGACAGTTCTTCCAGAGCTTCACAGGGAAACAGGAGGTTAAGCTCATCCAGAGCTTTCACGAGGAGACAGGTGGTTAAGCTCATCCAGAGCTTTCACGAAGAGACAGGATTCCTGTGAGGCAGAGACAAGGAAGAATTAGAATCTGGTCTCACAATGGAGATAACTAAGATTCATCTGTAACAGAGGTTCAGGAAGCTAACCAACTAAGATCAACACTGCGGCGTGGAATCAAGGTTTGAAGTCAGCTTAAATACTGTGGTCCTCCTGATTAGTAGATCAGCCACAGGTGTGTGGGAGGCTCAGCTCAGGAGGACCCACGGCGCACTCTGCTGGAGGCAGAGGGTAATCTCCAGATCCCCACAGTAACTCCAAACCTAAGGGAAAAAACAAAGAGAGCAGAAGAGGATCCTCGGCGCCCTCTGGTGGGCAAGCCTGAGGATCCCAACAATCCACCTCTCTAAATGATATAATGTATGTTTGGAATTCTAAGTTCTTCATTATTTCTGTCTTACTGACTTGTTTTGAATTTCCTTAAATAAACATATACAATGTTTTTAAGCCTTCATTTGCCTTCCTTCTTCCAAACTGAGCAACATCCATATGTAGTGGAGAGGTCACTGAGTTTAAGGGAGCGGCTTCAACTCTGCTGATCCACCCATCTTATTAGATCGCCTGGAAAACTGGATGATCCTTTCCACTCCAGCACATTCTGGCTTAAATCCTACTTGGAGGACCAGGGAATTTTTAGTGTCAGTATGTAACTTTACATCAGACAGCACAGAAATCACATGTGGCGTTCCCCAAGGCTCCATCTTAGTGGCCCTTTGATTCAATATCTAATTGCTTTCCCCAACTCGGATCTTAAATAAGCGGTCCTCCTAACTGTCATTCATTCTTGTGATATGTTTACGTAAGGCTGTCCTACGTGCTCAACCCCAGTTATCTATCTTTTTCTGCGCACTTTCAGGCGTGTATATGTGGTGAGCTACGGTTTAATGCAGTCATTGAAGCTCACCTTTCTCCAGAGATGGCAAAAGTACTCACTTTCCGTACTTGAGTAAAAGTACAGATATTTGTGTTAAAAAATACTCTGGTAAAAGTGGAAGTACTGATTAAACTTCTTTACTCAAGTAAAAGTAACAAAGTACAGGCTTGTAAATTTACTTAAAGTATAAAAGTAAAAGTAGAAACCACTTTTTTCATGCCGTTGCCTACATTTTAAATGGATGTCTGCCAATAGGACTAGATCTCCGTTGTGTTCATTTTCAATCATCTCGTCGTCCATGCTACTATGCTAACGCCACCGCCACCAAGGTGCAATGATTTGCCGCCAATGAATACCGCCGAATCTGTCGATTCATCTTGTAGTGGTGCGTCAAATGCAACGTAGATTCCCATCCAATTAGATTGAATTTGGTATTGATGATGTGAAAACTAATAACGGTAACTCCATTGAAATGATTCAAAACTAAAGTAACGAGACAATTTTTTAAAATGTAAGGAGTAGAAAGTACAGATATTTGTGTAAAAATGTAAGGAGTAGAAGTAAAAAGTCGCCATAAGTATTTGTACTTCGTTGCTTCCCATCTCTGCCTTTCTCACGGTGGTTCTTGGAAAATGGCAGTTGGTCGTAAGAGCAAAAGTGTCTACGAAGTGTATGAGAAGAAAAGAAAGGCATCAGAAGAGGCAGATATATCCCAGAATGCTTTGCGCTGAGAGCTCTTTGCTGTCACAAATTTGCTGTCACAGCGGCCGACTGTTGCCATAGACTGTCGCTACCCGACAGTGGCGACTAATACCAAAGATGGCGCAGGCACCATGCAGTGGACCAACAGAGGAGTGATTATCTGTCTGAACGTCTGATAACTGAGTTTGATATAAAAGGTTGGGAGCTGATGGCTTGGTTCGAGTGTCCGGTGTGTTTCAACTACGTGCTGCATTGTAGTCAACCAAAATCCTTGACGATTTTGAATTCCCCCCCCGGACATTTTTTAGGTCTGAAAAGCAGGACATGTTTGGGAAAAAGAGGCCGTCTGGTCCCCCTACCATATCAACAATTTGATGTTTCAGTGAGTGAGTGCTTGTTGCTATGATGCGTCTTTGCTCAGCAGCTTCGCTCGTTGTAAACATACCAATCAGAGCACAGCTCATCTAAATATTCATGATCATACCATAAAAGGAAGAAAACCTCGTTTCATTCTAGGGTTTTTAACCAGGCTTGCATTAGGATTCATAGAACAGCTAATATGCCATTTTCATACCAACCAATGTTACACACCCTATTAGAGACCTTAAGGACCAGATACCTTATAGAATTCTAGTTCAACATGATTTATCCAGTAATTGGATATAAACTATTGCCTTTGCAAGTCAAAAGGCAGTCCTCCAGATAAAACAACAAGGAAATAGAAATAGATTCAAAGGCAGCAAAGCTCAATTTTAGCACCTCCTGCCTGTCCCTCCTTTCACATCATCTTCTAGTTCACAGGAGTCAAACTGGTTCCAGAAAGGGCCGTGTGGCTGCAGGTTTTTCTTTCCAACCAAACAATAGCATACCAAACTCCATTCATCTCATCAAGTCATCATGTTCAGATTGGACTCCCTTGATGAGGTGACTGGAGTCTGGTGCTATTGCTTGGTTGGAAAGAAAACCTGCAGCCACACGGCCCTTTCTGGAACCAGTTTGAAACAGCTGTTCTAGTTCTTTTCAACATCAAACAATCCAGTAAGACAATTTATTTTGTTTCAAAAGCTTTCTTGGTTTCATTTTACAAACAAGCTACCGTGACCACAGTCCTTCTGCCTCTTCTAAATTAAATCTGGTATTCTCAAATTAAGTCATTTTTTTCAGCATATTTCTAAAACCATCCATCCATCTTCTTCCGCTTATCTGAGGTCGGGTCACGGAAGTAGCAGCTTCAGTAGGGATGCCCCTGAGGGACTCCCAAGGCGCTACCAGGCCAGCCAAGAAGCATAAAGTAGTAGCCATTAAAAATGGCCCCAACCAGTCAAACGCCAGCCAAATGGCAGCCCACTCCATTGCAACTCCCAGCAAAAATCCCCTGCAACTTCCAGCCACTGGCCTTCTCCTGGGCGTGCATATTTTTTTACTGTGATTCCTGCCTTTCATCGAATTACAGGGTCTGAGCAGGAGATCTCGCTTCCCTTTAGATCTTAATGTCCACAAATCATGACGGAAAAAATATTCAAGTACAAAGATTGATGTTTAAAAAGGAATTGTAGGGGACCAGCCAAGAACTAGCCAAGGACCAGCCAAGAACTAGCCAAAGACCAGCCAAGAACCCATCAAGGAAAGTGGGGAAATGTTGAATGGCAACTACTGTACTCCCTCCAGTGAGTCCTGGGTCTCCCCCTGGGCCTCTTCCCGGTTGGACGGGCCTGGAACACCTCACCAGGGAGTAATTTCTGGCTCCTCTCGATGTGGCGAAGCGAAGGCTCTACTCTGAGTCCTCCTCGGATGACTAAGCTCCTCCCCCTTTCTCTCAGGGAGAGCCCAGATATACTACAGAGAAAACTCATTTCAACCCATTTGTATCTGGGATCTCATTCTTTCAGGCAGAATTATATATTTCTAATTTATTCAAATTTATTTCTAAAACTTCACATATATTTGATGTTAACAGTATTAAAGTACAGTTCCTAGGTTTCCTTATCACAGCCTCCTTCCATGTCCG